ATGGCCCCAGAGCTGCAGCACTGCAGCCAGTGCAGGCCAGGGCATGACTCGGCGCATGGCAAGGCGATTTTACCACAAGATTCCAGAGAGGATACAGGCGATCATCTACGATATGGCAACACCCTCATGAAGCCAGTCTTTTTTTGATGATTCCATTATGGAATATGATTGTACATGGAGCAATCAAACTCCAAAACTCATTTTTAAACTCATTTGCTCATTTGCTTTGCCCGTACAAGACTCAGGAGGCTTTTCAATCAAACTCCAAAAGTATTGATGGCTTCAACTACTAAACTTACTTGAAGTAAGTCCTTAGTTGAAGTACATCGTCATGACTATCTTTTACTTAGTGAAAGCCTCTTGTACGGGCTATCTGTTACTAGTTTTAGTGGAAGAGAGCTCGATATCATACGTATCGACACGGTGCGAGATGATCTCTTATCACACAGGTTATCACTAAACTACTTGTGCTTGCCACTGCTCATCGACACTATCGACGATAGTATTTTCGTCTTCGGTCGCATATTTACGAGTGCTATCGGCAGCACTTGCGTGATCGTACTACGGATTTGACTGTACTTCACACCATAGTCTCATAGAGGTAACACTGTAAGTGTAAACCGGGGTTTTAGTGTTTGGCCGCCCGAGCACTGTACTGTAATGACCTTGTTGATGGGCCACCGCGCGCGGACGATCGGTGGCTGTGTCTACTCTACATACATACAATAAAAAATACAGAGTAAGAACTAAGATCAGGTCCCACAGCTGCGAAAAGGGTGCTCAACGGTTATGAAGTCTGATGAGTGCTTTTGCACGAAACTCGGAGTAACAACGAATTTCTCGGCTGTCCATCGTTTGATGACTAGTCGATCTAGTGTACAATAAAATTATAGATCTTCTTCCCTGTCAACCACATAGTAATCGTTGGCCACGGACAACGGATCTTGGACTGGTATTGGTAATGTACTCTCAGTCTCAGTCTGTGCCATCTTTCGTGTTACGCCGGAATCGATGGGGCCAGACTCCAGACAGAACAACAACGGATACAAGTATGGCCGTGCGATTGAGTGACTGATGGCATTGCACTGCACTCCTGCAGGGTCCTGTTGTTCTACATAATAACGCCACGATCTTGCCATGTGACCTGTGGGAATGCAGAATCATGATGTAAAATTGTTGGGTAGATCTAGACTACCGTGTACCGTGGCACCTTACCCACTCGCGATCACTGCTGTGTCTGTGTGTGCCCTAACGGCCGTAGAGCAAGTGTCAACAAGAGGCTCTCTTCATCTAAGATAAAGATTCTTGCCCTAAACTGAAGCCTAGACCAACACTACTACTAGCTACAGTGCTGGAGCTTTATGTTTTTACACGTGACACACTTGAAGCCAGTTGTCAGTGGTTGTGGTACGTGTAGTGTCCATAAGTGCACTGCCAAACACGGACGTGCAGCCTCACGCAGTCAGAGCCTTTCTAAAGGGTAAAGCACATTGTGACAACTAACTGTTAGTGTTACTGTTAATTGAAACCCTGTCACAGTGTGTGTGATGATCGCCTTCGTGGAACCCAGGCCAGGAAGGCCCAGGATCTAATACAGCAGAACGGGACTCTCACGGTTTCTATTCTTCCTGGTATCATTCATTACACACATAACAATCATGACAAAGTACTAGTGCTTTGTCCCTGCATCTCGATCTGAAACTGGCACCCTATTAAACTCCTACTTACAAGTAGTTACTAGTAGTTTCTGGTGTCTGGAACGTTACGTGGTGGATGTACATTGGAAACAATCGTACGCATTGTATTTATTACAATTCAGCCGGGTTTTCCAAAATCGTGGCAGATGAGGGCAACGTGAATGAAGGAAGAAGCAGGTCCAAACCCAAAATTTGGAAAATATAATTGGGCATTTAGTCTTACATGTAATTCGGCCAAAATCGGGCTTTCACTGCTGAAAGCGAGCAGGACTGTTGTATATGAACGACCTGCATAGTCATGTACAAGTACTCGTATCACTAGTGAGTTAGTTCACTCTCAGATTCTGCAGTGTGAGAAGAGAAGACAAGTCCAGATGTTGATGTACAGGATCAGTATCACGACCATGGCCTCGAAAGACTCCAAGTACAAGTCATGGACTTCAACTGCTAACCCCAAACGCGACCTAGACCGGCGATGCCATAACAGCATGATTGTACAGAACAACAAAGAGCAATGCTAGTTGCTGCTACTCAAACTTGTGTCATGCTTATGCAATGAATCATCAGGCAATAATGTATAAGTCCGGCAGTCGGCAGTCGTGTCCCAAGGTCGACTCACTCGGTGCTCCGTGCTCGCAGTCAGGCAAGTAGTGCTTGCTCGGGCAGAGGCGACAGAGAATTCGTATGTAGTCTACTTCGAAGTATGCCTTAAAGTACCGATAAATAATACTACAGAGACGCTTTGACGTAAGTCAGCGGAATCATGACAAGGGCAATAATACATGCGGTGCGATCTAAGGTCTTTCGGTGAGGGTTAGCATGATAACTATGGAGAGGCTGTTCAAGTTGAAGAACGGTATGGTTCAGCTGGACCTAAGCTGGGAAGAACAGTATAATAAAGCTATGCATCGGAAGCTGCTCCTCCTACCAACTCTGGACACGTACAGAGCGGTGAGCAGGGCGGTGACTTGAATGCCACAACCCGGCTGTTGGACACCTGCACATGCCGCAGACAATTTCAAACTGATTTGAGACGAAATCTATATAAAAGACTGTAGGCATAGCATAGTAGATGTACTCAAGTTGAATTTGCTCATGAGTACTGGATTGAGGTGGATGCCAGGATATATCTGGGATGCACACACGGTGCACAATAGATGGGAGACTTCATGTTTGCTATATATCAGAGCTGAAGCTAGTCTATGCGAAGCAGTTAAGTCGTGAATATCTTGCTAACGGGTTAATGCCTGTGTTGTTAGCAGGGCTTACGTCGCTGTGCATGGTCCGCTGTGTTCTACACACGCATACTGCAGTCAAATCGGCACTGTGAGGCCAGTGTACATTACCGTAAGTATAATGCAAGACCACTGCGTACGCAGTATGCATGCACATGCGCAGTCACAGGCGTGCACACGTGGCTGGCGGTCGCGCATGCCGTGCTATACTCAGCTGTTCGTGAGCCTCGGGTGCTGCACTAGACTCTAGTCTAGAGCTTGCGAGCATGCATGCGCCCGCTTAAATCCAAGAACAACAATTCGGTATACACGCATACGTGTGCACGCTCTACGCTCACAGGAATTCCTTCACGTGATATTGCGCATGACCTGCCTGCTGCGATGCGTCCTTCTGCACTTTCCAGTAGCCTTGTACGATCTTGTCAACAATTGGTGCAGGTGACATCGGCAGGAACATCGGCACGGACGTTGGATCATCAGAAGCCATTGAAAATTGGCCGAGCCCAGAATCTGCAGACTTCCTCGGGCCTTGCTGGGATCTATAAGGCCGATGCTGAAGCAAAGACGACAAAAGGAAGGGGGGGGGGGAAGGATTACTTCTAGGCAATGTCTCGATATGCGCAGACTTCACTGTACGAGCCATCCATTTTAACCAAAACTCCTAAAGATGGGACTTTCCCGAAACTTTGGATGAATCTATCGTCACTGGTTTGAGGGAAAATAACTTATCTTCTTTTTTTTGATTGGTATAGCCCAGAGATCACTGGGAGAATGTTGTGAGGATGTATGGTCACTTCCCGACAAATCCCATTTAAAAGGAATGAATCCCAGAGTTGGCTACTCATGACTGTATCTGTTCAAACTAACAAAACAAAAACATAAGAAAATAAAGAAGAGAACGGCTCGCACATTTGGCAACAATAACAGCCTTTCCGTTTGAAGGTCTTCAAGGCCTATGGTAGTGTCAGGGTTCCTTAAAACCTAGTTGTAATAGTTGTGACACATGCTTTCCAAGTTTCCATCCTTTTGAAAAGAATCGAATGCCAAAGTGAATGGTGCCAAGATGCCTCGTTTTACCTCTTCCACTACATGTTGCACTGCATCGGCAAGCCTGGCTGCACAGTGTAGTGTGATCCTGGGGCTCCATATTCGGCTGATATCCTGTGATTTAGCCCTTGCCGTGGTAAACTCGGCCCGAGGCGACTACTAAATTGAAGGGACCCGCAAAGTGTGATCCCTGTGCGTAGGCTGCCCTCATATCCAGGCAGGTACTTCAAGAAAGTTGATGGGACATGGCACACTTTTATTCGAGTTTAAGTGGTTCTCTAGGGCAATGGTTCGCCGCTTATCGCAGCACATGTACTTGCAGTTACGTCGACTGTTCTACTGAACTCCAATAGTGGGTCAGAATATGTATGGTCTACCAAAGGGTAGACGATTCGGGACTATCACAAACTGGATGAGAGACCGTCTACAAACTACATACAGTCAACTTCGCTAATAACGACTGCGGATATAACGACAATTCGCGAATAACGACAGCATTTCCATGCCCAGATCAAAGTCCCCTCCAACTGTAATACATATAATGAGACTTCGGGTATAACGACACTTCGCGAATAAGGACACTGTTTTGATGCCCGGCCGAGTGTCATTATAAGCGAAGTTGACTGTATAGGAGTTTCTGGCACTTACTTTATGATGGGACTGGCCAGTAGTTAGACTGGAGCAGAGAAAAACAGCACAAATAATCAAAACATCCATTAGTTGAATATCCAGGGGTAAGCAGCTTTCAGCTTTTGCTTTTGGTGGTGGAAGTGGAACAAATTCATTCATTAGTTGAGGGTGTTGAAACGGGAAAAAAGTCGGAACAAATTGATCACCACCACCAGGATTTGAACTAGGGACCTTCGCTTGAGGCCAGCGATGCTCTAACCACTGAACTATGGAAGGGTTGTCATCCTAGCAGATAACCGAGCATCAATATTATAAAATACTTTGGATCACAGCATGCTTTAAGCCAGGGCAGAGCTTCGTCATGTATCGCCCAAACACAGTGGATACAGTTTGTAGTCATTTTGAATGCAAAAGTCAGGCGCCGCAGTGGTGCTCGGACACAAAGACACTCCAGCTGGCAAGCAAGGACAGCCGTAATTCGGATAATTATTATGTCCACTTTTAGCTGATCATGAAATGCTGTGAGCATCACCTGGCGTGAATGGCTGCTGTTACTACCAATGTCGCTACAAATATCTTAGTTGGATGTACTTGGGGATACACGTAATAGGTAAATCCCCCCCCCCCCCCCCCCACACACACACCCCACCACCACCCACACATACTGCACACATGTACCAGCACCACTTTACCTTTGCTTTGCTTGTTCGCTAGCCTCGGACATTCCGGCCCACCCCAGTATCTTCTCCATTGCTTTTTGACTCGCGGCCAGTTTGTCACTGGTGCCACTGCTCGCTGTACTGTCGCGTCGCGGAGCATAGCTAGCACCCGCACCAGGTCTGTGCCGAGTTTTGCCGTAGTGCGCTGGCTTCCTGGTGGACTTGTGCGTTGCGTCGGTCGGATCATGGGTGGATTCCACTGTGCCGGTGTCCAAGACTTCCTTCAGCGGTGGCTCCTGTTTGCATCGGATACAGCGGAGAGCCACAGTTACATCATTCAAGGCTTTATCACAAGAATACACGTGTTGACGATTGCTGGATTGTTATGTAAAGTTATACTCATGATTCCAGATGTCATACTAAGAGTTAGCAAGCAGCTTTAAAATCAGTTATAATACTATAGAGATTTTGTCACTGGCTTGAGGGAAAGACACAAACGGGAAAAGTCTGAAGAAAAAATTGACCGTGTCACCACCAGGTCTCGAACCATGCACCCTCGCTTTAAAGGGGAAGTTAAGGCAAAAATTAAAATTTCACCAGTTGTAGTCTTCGGGGTGCTGAGTCGAATGGTCTTGGTCCGAGAAAGTTGAGACGCTCCCTTCCTACTTGAATCCCAATCGAACTCGCGCACTTCCACCGAAACTGGGTGACTGCGCCCTACGAGATGGGGATTTGTATGCAAAATGTCACTAAAAGCGCCATTTCGTTCTTATAAAAGCACGGATGACCGCGATTGGCCCATATGTTGTAGTGTTTTGGACGCTGAGTCGACTGGTTTCGGTCCGAAAAGGCTGCGATGCAGCGTTCGCCCCTAATTCCCAATCGAACATGGTTGAACAAGCGGTCACGTGCTCCTGCGTACACCAGTCACCTGGTCACCGTGCCTGCAGGGTACAACTTACAGCCCGTTTTGACCTTTTTTGGGTGCAGTCCTGTCACTCGAGTTGAACCTTGGTGTGAAAGTTGTCGCCTGCTGGCGTGGTGACCAGGTGATTTTGGCACCCAGGAGCACGTGACCGCTTCTTCAACCATGTTCGATTGGGAATAAAGGAGGAACGCTGCATCGCAGCCTTTTCGGACCAAAACCAGTCGACTCAGCGTCCAAAAGACTACAACATATGGGCCAATCGCGGTCATCCGTGCTTTTATAAGAACGAAATGGCGCTTTTAGTGACATTTTGCATACAAATCCCCATCTAGTAGGGCGCAGTCACCCAGTTTCGGTGGAAGTGCGCGAGTTCGATTGGGATTCAAGTAGGAAGGGAGCGTCTCAGCTTTCTCGGACCAAGACCATTCGACTCAGCACCCCGAAGACTACAACTGGTGAAATTTTGATTTTTGCCTTAACTTCCCCTTTAATATAGAATTTTTTTAAACATTATCTGTCACTTTCGTACACCAACTTTGCACTCTGCCCAGCTACTGTAGATTGCAGCGTGTCCCCGTTTGGTAGCTGTATGCAGGACATGCCTGGTGCTAGCCATCATATTTGCCCGATTGTAAGTCGCATCCCCATTTTCAGGTCCATGTTATATCGTTTCAATATATTCACTTCAGTAGTAAGTCATGCTCGATTGTAAGTCGCACCCCCTTTGTTGGGAATGAAGTTTAGTGTAAAAACGTGCGACTGATATTCGGGGAAATACGGTACACAAAAAATACTGGGTCGCTAATCGCCCAATTTTAAAGGTAGGAGGTGATTGCTGAACCCACGGTGCACTTCTATGCAGAACTGCTCGTGCATCAAGCAAGAAAACGTTTGCTAAAGGCCAGTGATCATCTAAGCTAAATGTCGCTTGAATCCGGTTTTACCGTCTTTACGTCCTTCTTCTTGAAGCTCCTCCAAAGCACATTTAATTAAAACGTACCATCAATATGGCACATCATCATAGTAAAGTTCTGAAATTTACACCATTCGCTCCCAAAGCGCCTGGTAAAGAGATGCATGAGCATACTAAGCTGTACTAAGAAAATAGCATAGACAAGTGTCTTTACCCCAGTGGCCTTTGCATAACGTTGCGGAGGCAGATGTGACTCTGCTCCCTTCCCTTGCTTGGCGATGTGGTTGGAATGCACCCCTTGCGCTTGCACTTCCAGTGGTCCCGCGTCGACTGCCGCAGCCTTGGCTCTCGTCACGTCGTAGTTTCGCTGCAAAGAGACAAATACAAGCGTGGTCTCCTCAGCCAGATGTACTGGTCCTTCTCGACAAAACGTTCTTTCAACGAGGTTGTCCAAAAATACGCGACGTTGCCGGCCAGGGATCCAACTCTGAGTCATAAGTGTACTCAGAAAACATGGATTATCCCTAACACCAAGACTGTCACGGTCCTCATGTGCGCCAGCAGATAAGAGTTCTACAGTTCACTGCACTGCATCAAATGGAAAGCGTGGAATTCAATCGACCATTTATGTATAATTAAATTCACGGATTTGCCGTGACATGCTTACAGTTGCTTGCACCGAACACACCAGCTAGCAAGCTGCATGGAACTACCCGTCACCGGGGGTCTTAGTACACAGCCCCAGCATTATGGCTTACCGAAGCCTTCTTGTCCAATCGCCTTGGCTTGTCGTTGTCACTGAGGATGTTTCTCTTCACCGCCCTCTCGAAGTTATCCAGCTCCAGCTGGCTCACCTCGTTGTAGGTTGGCTTCATCACCAGGCTCTCCACAACTACCGGCTCCAGCGCGAGCTTCATGGGATGCTTGAGGGCAGGCAGGCCACCGCGGCGGTGCTTAGCGGGCCCGTTGGTACCGTTCCCTGCCTTATAGCCGAGCGGTGCCACTCGCAGTGCCGAGCCCGGCCACTTCCCATGGCGCTTGCCCGGTAGATGCTTTCCGCCCAGAGCTCTGGTAGTCTTGTTGTCTGTATCCACTGGAACCAGTGGCAATGGGGCATTCAGCCTCATGTATTCCCCGTGCAGTATCAAATCCGTGTCTTTGTCAGATGGTGCCACTGGCTTATCAGTACTTGATGACTGGTTTGAAGGATTTTCCAGCTTAGCTTGTCGCTCTTTGCTGGACTCTGATGAACACGTATCCTTCCCACCCTTGTCATTCACTGAAGATCCAGGGATGGTGTCTGTGCTTTTCTTAGTCACCAGTGTTGAGCTGGATGAGCTTGCTTTGCAGGATTCCTTCTCTGCTTTAGCATCCGTGCGCTGTGTACTACGAGTATTGTCGCTTGGTGCCTTTTCCTTGCCTTGATCTCTCTGTGCGGTTTGCTGACTGGGTTTTATTGTGAGTTCAACCTGCTTTGCAGCTTCCTCTCGCGCTCTCTGTTGCTTGTTGAGCTGACGCTGTTTGGCTTTCTCCATTTCCGTGAGAAACTGCTCCAGCTGCCTGCCGCCTTTGCCCGTGGAGAGCGAGTGTTGTGTGGCGGTCACGGACAGCATGAATGCGGCCTGGTCCCCGCCCGCTGTCTTGTTGACAGCCTGGCCGTGCGGGGTACTGTCAACGGGCACCTGCACCCTGCCCAGACCATTGGGGCCCTTTGCAATACAGCCCTTTGGGCGCTTTGCGGCACAATCCATGTCCATCAGGATACCAGCGGCGGCCCCACACTTTGCGGCACCCCATAGCTGCGTGACCCCCAATGCCACTGAAACGTCACCAATGGCGGAGTCACTCTTGGAGCATAACGAGCCAGGCTTGACGGGCTTGGCGGCCGGTTTGACCCTGTCGTGCTCCAATGCCGGCAGCGAAGGGACGCTGTGTGACGGATACAGCGTGAGTGATACTGTACTGTATCCCTTACGGTCAGTGCCAGCTATGGATGGGCCAGTTGGCCGCTGATTTGAGGGTTTAGTATTATGCAGCTGTGCTTTCCACACAACTGAGTGTACTGATGTTCCTGATGCATGCATGCCACCCGCAGCATATTTGATGCCTGGGACATACGATTCTTTGCCAAGTTTGATCCCCTGTCCCGCGGGGATGGAACCTGCCCCTTGCTGGGGGTGACTGGATACTGAACCTTTCGTTCTGTCCTCATGGCAATCTGTGTTCCGATCGTGTGGTTTGCGATCGCCATTTGATGTTGGCCGTTCCACCTCTCTTGCTTCTCTCTGTGCTCCCGTTGGAGGCACTGCCGCTGTGCCCACCGTTGCAGCATCTGCAGCAGCTTTGGCCACCGCTTCCGCTGCAGCTTTCGCCGCTGCCACCGCGGTCGTAACCGCCTCCTCTGCGGCAGTTACGGCCGTAGCCTTGGCTGCAACTTTCCCCGAGGCTGCTCGCAAGTCAGAGGCCTCGGCAGCAAGGGGCTCAAGCAGCTCCTGGGCACTGCGACTCGGCCGAATGCGACCGCGCGCCATCTTGGCACCGCCGGCGGGGCTCATCAGCAACAACGCGCGGTCGTTGATTTGCCGCAGGTTCAACACGGCGTCCATGAGCGTGTCCTCTGACGACGTCTCCTCGCCATCGCCAGTGAGTTCCCCTGCTGAAAGGCACACGAGAGGGATAAGAAGCAGTGTTTGGATAAGAAAATCAAAACTGTACACACAGAATACCACATTCATGCATTGCAGCTTCATTCATGTTTGAAATCATTGTTGAGATCCTAATGTCCTCATATCCTTTTTATAATGTGTTTTAAACACACACCTTGGTTTAGTTGGTGTGGCAATACTACAGTGAATGGCAATCAATACAGACCACCCCAAACATGACGTAATCACATAGCCTTCATACAGCACCTGGTACATGCATGACATCATGCATGACATCATGCACATGTACTGATGTGGGCCATCACCTCATAACAAGACAGTGCCTGAGTGCACGGTCTTGCTCTGGTTGTGCCACACTCCTTCTCTGCACCAAGTGTACTCAACGAATGCCGCAGCACAGGCAAAGCCTGCTCTCAGTAGCCACAGACTTGTGTATTTGTGCCACACTTTTTCTCTGCACCAAGTGTACTCATCGAATGCCGCAGCACAGGCAAAGCCTGCTCTCAGTAGCCACAGACTTGTGTATAATGGCCTTTAAGTGCAAGCGCATGGCCTCTGAAACTCTTAAGCATTTGAATATGTCATATATGTGGTGCCAAAGAACAATTGAGGTGTAGACCAGGCAGGTGCTGAAATCATGAAGGCACTTGAAGCTACTGTAGTTGCTGACACCCATTGGTCGCTCGACCTTGTTTCACTACAGCTAACGAATGTCAAGCAACCATCCCCTCTTCTGGAAAAGCGGGTCTTATAAACAGTTGAGCAATGGCGTGTACATTTTATGGGACAAGCACAGGCAGAGAGACAGACGTACAGACAAACAGGCAGACAGAGAGACAGACCGACAGACAGACAGGCATGTAGGCAGACAGACAGACAGAAAGACAGCGAACACACACACACACCTTCTTTGCGCTCACTGTCGGCCGCGGCAATCATCTCCCGGAGCAAGGTGATCGACTTGCCATCCTGCACGTACAGTTGGCAGAGGCGGCGGATGTAAGTCTCGGATGCAGGCGGTCTCCATCGATACTGAAACTCTGTTGGCAAGCGTTTCTGCACGATACCCGTCAGACAGTCTCCGTGACTAGGCCAGCCACCAAGCAGTGGCGGTGAAGGTTCACACTTCGAGATGTCTGCGGCATGGGCAGGAGGATGCCTGGCTTTCTTCCCCGCATTCGCCGCAGCCCTGGCACAAACGTGATCAAAACCAAAGCCGGGGTGCGAAAGCAAACAAGCCGTTAGGATACAGAATATTGAGGCCTTGACCCGCCGACTCCACACACAAACCATACGTGGGCATGCATAAATCGGCCATGCCCTTTAGGGTGATGGGGACGGGCAGCCCAGAAGCTAACCCACATCATCAAGCGTTGCACTGAGCAATTATGTGTTGTCTTCGTGTACTCTACCGTACTGCCTGGATTGTATAATACATTCATGCCATTTAACAACATGAGGAAAAGCTGACCATGTATTGGGCATTGGGGGAAGCATTTTAAAATGTTGCATCAACATTAATTTTTAGACAGCCCTGTAGGTAGTACAATCATGCACATGTCATTAATTTCGCGTGCAATCTGGCGGCGTTTAGGAAGGTATTCACCAATTTAGAAATTTGAATTGTTATTTTTGTGCAATGTATGTTTACGACTCATTCAGAATTGGAGCGCGGCCTGAAGGTGAAACATGTAACAGCTTGCCAACCTGGACTGCAAGTTCATGCTCACCCCCCCCCCCCCCCCCCCCCGGAACCACCACTGGGCACTCACGGCGGTGCACGGCCTGCCTTCAGCCGTCCTGTGCTGTTTGTGGCCGGTCCGGTCAGCGGATGGCCTTGGTTGCCCGTCTTCACCGTCGACATCATAGAGTCAGTCCGTGACCGCGCAGCAGCAGGTGGCTCACGTCCGGAGTAACCATCAAACCGGCCACCGCGGTGCACCGCTCAATACCTGCTGCTAAGCTCGATCAACAGTGTAAGTTACGTCGCGGACCGGGAGTCACGCGGCCCTCAGAGCAGCACAGCGAGGGCGGTGCAGAATGGCATGTAACAACTAATAGCTGCCAATCGCGGCTCTGGTAGTCTTAGCACTGACGTATCGTCCAGAGTGGTACACGTTCAAGACCTGCACGGTAAACGGGAACAGAAGAATTTTAAAAACGTTCTTGCCAGCAGCTATATACGTCAGGCCCGCCGGTATCAGTCAGGTTGGTAACGCAGCACCAGACCAACATTTTGCCCACCAGCACATGATTACTGCTGAGCAGGTCATGCGCACCCGCCATATCATACAGAAGTACGTACTAGTAATACGATACACACAATGAGGGCACAGGGAAAGTGTTTTTACTCCGAGTTTCACGCACTAAGCGATCATCGGAAAACAGTAATGAGAAATCTGGATCAGTATTGGTTTATATGCTCACAAAGCAAAGCAAAGTGTAAATACGATGCAGTATACACAGATATGTGATATGAACAAAGAGCCCGGGTAGGTTCCATGATTTCTCCTACCGGAAAGTCCGTGAAATGTACATCGGTGTAAAAAACAGGCATGTACTTGTCATATACTAGAACCTGTATATTGTTTTTTTTCGTTTGCTATTCTTCCTGCTGCAATCTTTTTCATGATGAAACAGTTGACAGATGCGTGGAACCCATTATTTGGGAGACATGCGACCTGCATTATTATTATTATTATTATTATTATTATTATAGTTCCGTGTATACGCCCACTCGAAATAACGCCCATCGAATCGACATCTACACTCAAAGCCCGTGAGTTCGCCCATGCCCGGAAACCGCCCTGGGTGATGCTGTACCTGTGTATGTGTATGTGTGCAAAATGTTATGCATGCTCATGAAACCCCCAAGCGATGCAATATGTACCTGGTATAGGCCCAGTCCTGAAATAACGCCCATGCCCAAACATACGCCCACTTTTCAGACCCCGGTGTCTGCTCCAGAGCCGGGTGAGCCGGGTAATCGACCCGGTTGGGCGGCGCTTGGACCGGGTTGAAAATATAGTACCGGGTCACCCGTGACCCGGTTGGTACTTTACACGTTCGAACTTTGAAAGGACTGACTACATGGCTTGTATGTGTGACAGATCATGCAGAGGCGCGCGTCGAATACATGTGTACACGGCTCCGACCCGGTTGAAATGGTTGCGCCAGGTACACGTGTACGCGGCTGTCCTACTATCCTAGAACAGACACTGGACCCTTGTTCTGTATACGCCCGAGGCTTATTCACGGAACTTGACGGTACCCCAGTACTATCAAACTTGCGAGTAACAACCTCAGACACAACATTAACTCGCGAATAGCGACACTATCTTCGGGACAAGCACATGGTCAAACTCGACTGCATACGTTAAGCCTAGAAAATAACGACACTTTCCTCATTTCCCTATTGAAGGTGACTGTTTGCAAGGCTCAGTGTACATGTGCATGATTAATTCAGGAATGGATCTAAGAGCGGTTGGTGGGCAAAATCGAACGCACTCACTGCTTAGGAGGGCATTTGTACCCGCCACATCATACACACAGTCGGAGTGGTTATGCTACTGCCGGATCAATCAACAACCACTTCCCGCGGTCCTGAACAAACATGCATATCCGTCGGAGTGGACTTCAATGAGAGCGACAGTGGTATCAAGTCTGCAAGCAATAGTCGTCTTCGTGCAACACTGCACAGGGCCGAAGCACCCAGTGCAGCCATGGCCGAACCTTGTTTCGAAAAAGTAACAAGTAATAGTTGACCCACCCAATTAGTGTGAAACGGGGCCACTTGGTCAATCATGACCAGATGACTGTGACTGTTCATTTCCAGTCAAGTATCCGCATTGGGCCGCACCACCTGCAATCGCGGTGCTACGGACCTGCTTCAACCATTGGCATTGGAACCTTCATTTTAACTGGGCATGTATAACTGGGCATGTACAAACAAAATGCTCAGTTACTGCAGCGGGACATACGTGTGCTCTCGCGTTCAATACACGATTTGTCTCGCTCTCACTCTCAGGCTTACCTGGCCAAATTCGAGCTATTCAATTTAGTCATTGACTTGAAAGTAAAGTTGAACGGTGCATCCAGGTATACTGTCGAAGAGATTCCAAGCACACATCAGCCCCCCAATTGCCCAAACGCAACCGTTCGATCAGCTATCGCTCGCCTCGAACTCGCCAGTCAGCCGGGCCGTCAGCCGTGTCTCCTCTTCAGCTAGCTGCTGCACAGCCGCCCGCTACGACGAGTATCGCGGTGATAATCAGATAATGATAGGTGTGATTGAACTACTACTTGTAGGCGTATTCACCCGTTCAAGGTAGTTTCAGGCGTGCCAAGCCTGTGTCCACTGATCGATGGTGTCGACAGCGCTAGCGCCTAGCGGGCAAGATTCGTCCTCCAAAACATAAATATTTCAATATCATGCACTATAGCTTGTCATTGGCAGCCACTGAGCTCACGAGCTAGGTCAACAGTACTTACAGCTCAGACAACAGAGCATTACATGTAATGTACTAATGACTATGTAACTGTTGTCGGGTAGGTCAACACTACACTACACTCTACAGACATGACAGTCAGTAGGCAACACGGACAACACAGACAACACTCAACAGCACAAGTCGTGCATGGTGGATCGATTACTTCTGTTTGTTGATTACAAACAACTCCACTGACTGGTATGGTCTGTATTACACTTCAAATAATTCAATACTTGAACACAAACTGACTTTTATTGCAGTCTGACATGTCAGTGTTTTGGTCATTGCATGATTTTACAGTACGTAGATCTACCTCTTTCAAGTCTTTGCTTGGATAGGAGATTTCTACGACTCGAGCTCTACTCTGTCCCTGCGGGAATTTGCGGAAAAAACTCTCAAAAACTTGCGCAAGAAATTGCGGCAGAAAGTAACAAAAAATGCGACGAAAAGTGCGGAATGATGCAGAACTTGCCAGGAATTCGCGGCCTTATTTGCAGAAAATTGAGGATTTGGGCCAAATCACGAAATTTGTTGCATCGTACATGTAGTATATCTACTCGGGAGTCGTACTGTGCAAATAACCTACTGAATCATGGAAAGAACTGCGTGAAAAGTGCATAAAAATGTGAGATATAGTGCAGAAAACAACAAAAAAACGCGGGAAATCGCGGATTTTGCTGAAAATCGCGGGTTTGGACCAAAATCGCGAAATTTGTTGCATCCGTGGAATCGCGATTTCCTGGAGGGACAGTCTACTCGATCGAGTCGAGTCGATCGAGGCGAGGCGTCCAGCACAAACAGTTACATGCAGCTGGCACACATGGCACAGCCACAGGTGCGTTGGCAACAGTCTACTTCACGTCACGTGACGGATCCACGTGTAGATGCTACTGCTGACTTTCGTACTCGTTTTTCAGTTTTTGAACTCGATGAGACTGTTCTCTCTGCATCTCAAAACTCACAACACACTTTCTACTGTGTTTGAATAGCCAATCTTTACTTCACAATATCAGAAGAGTCGAGTAGCCTGTCCTGTCATTCTGTCTGTTCACAATGAGTGTTGCGTTGTGACTGGTTGAGTTTGTGTCTTGCAAGATCATTATTTTTTTGTGAAGCTCAGCTAGCTAGCTGGGGAGTCCAGTCCAGTTTTAAAACATTTTGAGTCTGAAGACAAACCGAGATTTCACAATAAATTATGGATGGCATTATAAACACGTCGAGGTGCTGCTCGAGGATCATTCGTCATGTCAGGCACTTTGCAGTAGGTAGACACCGCCTTGGTGGAAGCCAGCTGCCTGCTGCGCGCATCGCGACGCCTGCTGCACAAACATACCATTCTAGAATTGCTTGTGTCGCTCCTCTCCGTCATTCATTCGGTAAGAGTTTGAAAAGTGACTGACGCGCCTGCATAAGCTGCTTGATAATTCTGTTGTTTCCTTCACTTTCTGTTGAGATATAGTTTGCTTGACGATTTGCGTTCATTAATTTTTTTAAATCACTTCTTCAATTTTCTTGGAAAGAAAATTTAAAAAAGAAGGGTTTGCTTATTCGAATGTACGAATGAGAATGACACCAGTCCATAAACAGGAGTATGCAACTGTGATCTCGTTTCTATGGGCCAAGTGCACGTCGCGCTACCTTCACAACATCATGCAGCTACACCCGCACACTACAGCAAAGCAAACACCACACTTTCCCTGCGTTTTGAAACCAACTTAAGTACGGAGCTGAAGCTCGTGCACCCGACATCTTTGAGTTTGCGTCTGTACTCGAACGATTCACGTGAAACAGGGTCTGCGGATACGAGAGATTGTGGAATTTGGCGCATGAGTACAGGGTGTGATGCAGGCCAGTTATGACTGTTATGACGGCAGCATGCCCTGCACTGACCCATAACCACACTTGCATACTCTTGTTTATTGACTCTTGATAGTGATTAAGAGGTTGGTGCGACTTCGGCGATAACTGGGGAAGTGTGTGTGTGTTGCTCCCTACGTGGGAGCTCGCGCTTTTCCTGCCGACTTGAATTCTCACTTGACTGACTCACGGCTGGCATCCAGAGCACGCGAGAAGTCCATCGAACCGTCCACTCGGCAAACCTGCAAGAAAGCACCACTCCCTGCTCAATAGATAGTGCTCAATTGATAGTGATTGGGGACGGAATAAACGTAACAATAAAAAAGGAAAGAACACAAGAAGCCCGTAGAACAGTATGACCAGGGACCGCTTGTGATTGTTTTCCCAGAATTCTACAATTTCCTCAGGGTGTGCAGACTCCACCGTAGCCATTTCGTCTCTCACACGATCATACGCCACTATAATCCAAAACGGCCTTTCGGCTGCGGTTCTTCCAAAAATATAAGGTTTATCCAATTTTCCAGGCCAAACCCATGTTCAGGGAGCACAAGGAGAAGATGAAGATGGGCAGATTGGCTTTGCCTGAAAATTTGGATAAAACTTTACTATTTTTTGGCAGAATTGTAGCCGAGAGGTCGTTTTGGGTACTAGTTGTGTATGATTGTATGAGAGAATTCTACAATCTGAAGAGAATTGCAGTACACCTCATGACCTGGCACATCCACCACCCACTTGGCCCCTAATTCAAACTCTATTTTTCCTGTTTAAACTGACATACACTCAACTTTGCGTATAACGACACTCAGCCGGGCATCAGAAAAGTGTCCTTATTCGCGAAGTGTCGTTATACCCGAAGACTCATTATATGCATACAGGTAGAATGGACTTGCTCTGGGCATGGAAATTCTGTCGTTATTGGCGAATTGTCGTTATATCCGCTGTCGTTATTAGGCCCGGTGACTGTAGATGATCCAACTAGTCACTGTTGATTTCAAAGGAGGAAAGGGAATTTGAGTTGTTATCTTTTGTGTAGCGTATGTTCATGACTGGTGAAGAATAAGAGCGTGGCCTGAAGGCAAGCATGTATGCACCAACTTGCCACACTAGACTAATAATTATAAGCTCTGCATTCATGCTTTCCAGATTCCCTGTACGAATGGTCTGGGCATGGGTGTTGACAACGAGCTTGAACTTGCGGAGGGGGTTGAATGCAACTGGTTCCGCAATCTTGATATCCTCCTCTACCTCCGGAATAGACGTTGACTATTATTTGTTTGGGTGTTGATATTCTTGCATTGCGCCTTATCTCAATGTGTGCTCCTGTAGCAAGCTGTGATCGTCTAGTGGTTAGGACCCTACGTTGTGGCCGTAGTAACCCAGGTTCGAATCCTGGTCACAGCACACTTTTTGGCATTTTTTATTTAATCTTCAATGATGAATTTTGCACATGTCTGACAGAGTTGGGGGGAAGTGTTTTTTTTTGTCTGCAGCTTTTACGTTCTTTTTAGCCTGTCCAAATTGGTAGGTTCTACTTTCTTTACTGGCTCTGTCAGGTTTGAGGCTGGTAGAATTTGGCAGAAGTCGGTAGATTTGAGGTTTTTATGTTTCCGTGGAAATAGGGCAGTTTTCGTTCAACGAGAGACCTACAATTTTCGCCATGATATTTGTGGAACGTGTAAGAGGAGATTCTGTCAAAACTCGTCTTGGCGTACTGAAATACAGTCAGATCTGACGTTTACATGACTGCGCTCGTCCCGCGTTGAAATCGAGAAAATATTGTAGCGTACTTATATTTGCGCCAGGACTGCACGCATCCCTCATTCTAGATGTTAGCGCCAAATCTATTGCAGTTTACTTCGAAGTTTATTGGCTGGTTTTGACGTTTTTCACTTCATTTCGAAAATGATATCCACTGTTGGGAATGGGACAGTTGACGGAGCATCGAGATTGCCGCAACCTTGTTGCGATGTATGATCTTGTCTTTCTGTTGCTACTTACTCTGCATGTGTGTGTGTGTGTGTGTGTGTGTGTGTGTGTGTGTGTGTGTGTGTGTGTGTGTGCGTGTGTGTGCGTGTGTGTGTGCGTGTGTGTGTACGCATGTACATGTTCATTCTTGCGTGTGTACGTGTGTGTTCTTGCATGTGTCTGTGCATGTGCGCACGCCTATGCACCCCTGTTTGCAATCACCTGTCTAGTTGGTCTTGGACGGCGCTACATGTCCAGCTATGAGAATTCGGCAAACCCGTTGGTGCTTCCAGCCGAGCTACACGACCCTCTCATGGAGTACGCACGACAACTGGCGGCGCAGAGCAAAACCCTGGAGCAGTGGGCCGAGGTGGTGAGTTCTACTGAATCTTAAAGAGTGGTGGTGTCTCGTTTAATTAAGGTGACGATCCACCGGCGACAGTCGAGAGAAGCGAGAATTATTTGCCCGACTGATCTTCTGTCATTGAAGCGGGACTGAAAGCACTGAACTATAATTATGTGTCCTTTCCACGTACAGTTACGTTCATCATTTTTCGAGAACCGTGGCAATACGCCCAGTGAGAAGGCAGATTTTGCCTGTGCTTCTGGTGAAGTAAAATAAAGCTAAACAAACAAACAGTGAAACTTTAGTATAGCCTACATTAAGGGACGTAAAAATGTGTGCAGTACTCTATATCCGAGGTCAAATGCCTGGAAACGGATATACACTCATACCTTGTTTATCCGGGCGGTCCGGGACTCGGCACTGCCCGTATCTTTGAACTGTCCGTAGCTCCAACTCACATACATGGCGTCACAATTTTTTCCACGAAAAGCGGCAGAAGAGTAGCAATATTTCCACTGAAACGCTCGCCCACAGGGTGCCCGGTAGACCGAAGTGTATCTTCGGTGTCCGGCTAACCAAGGCATGAGTGTACAGGGTGTTCGCAGCACTGCTTTATATCCAATGCAAAGAGAACAGTAGTATAGTCCACCTTGTGAATAACCACCCCTCGATTGTGCATGAGAAAAGTGCTGTGATTCGCGAGGTTGAAAGTGTGCAGTCAAATGGTCAGCTCTGAAGATTGTGTCGTTATTCACGAGTTGTTGTTGTACCCGGGGTTGTTGTACCCGGGGTTGTTGTACCCGGGGTTGTTGTACCCAGGATCGTTATTCATGAGTTGTTGTTGTACCCGGGGTTGTTGTACCCAGGATCGTTATTCATGAGTTGTTGTTGTACCCGGGGTTGTTGTACCCGGGGTTGTTGTACCCGGGGTTGTTGTACCCAGGATCGTTGTTCATGAGTTGTTGTTGTACCCGGGGTTGTTGTACCCGGGGTTGTTGTACCCGGGGTTGTTATTCATGAGTTGTTGTTGTACCCGGGGTTGTTGTACCCGGGGTTGTTGTACCCGGGGTTGTTGTTCACGAGTTGTTGTTGTACCCGGGGTTGTTGTACCCAGGATCGTTGTTCATGAGTTGTTGTTATACTGTAAGACATGTTATTATAACGAGTCGCAAATTTAACGATTAACGATCTTGCGGTCTTCAGGCGTATCTGCACATAACACATACTAGGCATTAACTTAGAGCCTCAGCAGAACTTATTATAACGAAAAAATGGCACCCGTTAAAACGTTAGATTTACTTCCTCGTTATAATTACATGTCTTAGGGCGCGTTCAGACTGGCGTAAAAAAAACAAGCGGAATGTGAAAGTTGTCAAGGTGAATCGCTCACGTGACGTTCCCGCCAGCGTAAACACGGAAAAGGTTTCCCACCACTCTGCAGGCCAGTGGAATGCAGATTCCGGCGGAACGCGGAGCGCTTTTGATATCCTTGCAGCACATGTTCCGTCTTTTCGTTTTATTTCAGCCTCTACTCTTGCAGTCTGACTGCATGCTTTTGAGTTTTGACTTCTAGACTGCCAACTTCTCCCATCATGCCGAAATCTTTGTTCGACTCAGCAATGGAGAGGGAGTTCATGGAGCTGTACGTGGTGATTTTTGCGGGCCGCTCTGCAGGCAAAACGTTACTGCGAACGAGAAGCATACTCTGATCGCGGAGCGGATGAATGCCACCCAAGCACCAAACACTCCGGACATAGTATTCTTTCCGTCGACAAGCACAAGCAAAAGCACAATGATCCAGTATCTCAACAGACTGAATTAGTTTATTTTGATATCCAACTCAAACTGAGTCAACTCAAATTTTTCAAATGTCGAAGCTTCACATGTACTGGCCATTCCAGCGGGATACACGTGCAGTGTGATTGCGATTCCCGGGATTACGCTGCAGCTTTCCGGCGGCTATTCACGCCAGTCTGAACGCGCCCTAACAGTACGCGGGGTTGTTGTTCATGAGGTTGTCTGTTTACTCCTGTTGTGGACATTGAAGTCCGGTGGCATGACCGGGGTCGGCACCCTTAGTGCGTAGTGCGCACACACGCACTGTAGTTCACGCACGCACTGCAATAATGGACCAGCGACAGTGAGCCCTACACGTGGTATCAACTATCAAGAGTACATAAACCAGAGCGTGCAGCTCGGGATGGTTCTTGTGGGAGTGTAATCCCGTGCAGTACGTCATTTCTGACGCCACTGTAATGATGGTAAGCCACAGGTACGGCGAAAAGTTGCGTAACCAGTCACGGTGGTGCAGGTCGCTGAGTTTGTCCTGATTTTGGTTTTTTGATACGGATAGCCTGGTGAATTTACTTGTCAGCGCATGTACGCAGCCCACGCAGTCACACAAAAACACTGAAATCCTAAAACAGAACACGTCTAAATCATGAAAACTTGCCTGATTTCCGGGCTGTGAAACACGACAATTTGAACTGTACGCAAGTCGCGGCTTGACTGACCTCATCAGGGTGACGTAGTGCACGCACTGCGCTGTTTCAGATCTGATATGCACAGTTGCACACCCTGGTTTATGTACTCTTGATCAGGTACGTGCAGTGCTCCCTGACCAGCCGTGTCCAGCACGCAACAGAGTCATAATATTATGAATGTATAGAGTGTGCGCACTCAAGGCTGCAAGGCCAGCGCCCCGTGGCTGCTTGACTTTCTCACCGGATTTCAATTTCTACAACTATAGTCTATACTGTCCGGGGTACTTTGTACTGAAGGTTGACTGGTATTTGTACCGATTAAATAAAGAAAGAAATTTCACGGTTCGCGCGAGGCTCGGCTGGAAGCCGAGTTTTCCGCATCCGCCGTGGGAACGCCGCCACCCTCTAGGATGAAGGCACCGATTTCATGTTGGGAACGTAAGCTGCAGGGTGGATTTCTGGCTCACCTTTCCGTTATAGGAGTGCAGCTTATATCCTCATTCTTGCTTCTTTTTCCACACCTGCCCGTTTCTGTCCTGTTTGTCCTTGTCTTGGTTGCTTGCCAGGAAGTTCCGTCTGCAGCACGCCAGCGTAGCAACTTCAGCAAGACGCGCCGCTTTCTGACCGGTGTCGTAGCGCGCCTGGATGAATACGACAAGGTTCTGCAGGTTGGTAGTGGGTTTGTGTGTGCGCGCGCGCGAGCGTGTGGGTGAGAGAGAGAGTGTGTGTGTGCGAGAGAGAGTGTGTGTGTGTGAGAGAGAGAGAGAGAGAGAGAGTGTGTGTGTGTGTGTGTGTGTGTGTGTGTGTGTGTGTGTGTGTAAACCAGGCTAAAATCAGTGGCGGCCAATTACCTGGAATACGAGCCCCCATGCCGTTCATATGGTCTAAAGGTCGGGACCACACCGACCAGTCTCTGGTTTCGGTCATCAGTCATGCAGGAACACTGTGTTCCATACAGTATGTCCTCTGCCTTGTGCCATGCTGCCATCACCATGCCTTATAAGTAGAGTATGATGTAATGTGAGCTAGTCCGGCTTACCAGTGTTGTACTTTGGGTGGGATTTCACCTAGCGCAATGGCACCTATGCATACAACGTGACTGCAGCCTTTTTTGCGGGGCAACCTGTATCGTGTTTGGCAGGTGTAGCCAGCTCTAGTTCACTTGTGAGTGTGACCGTACACAGTTCATGATCTTTTATACAGGGCAACCTGTATCATGATGTGTATGGCTGAAGTGGACTTGCACCGCCAAGCCAAACGGCTTCTGGCTCAATCCAGTCTGTCCATTCCTCCTAGTACATGTAGTGATTTGACCCGACGAGACCACACGACGCCTGGAGACAACAGCATGAACAGTTCACTAGCCACACTCCATGACAGTGCCTTGCTGTTGTCTGCAAGCGTCGTGTGGTCTCGTCGCGGTCAAATGAAAAGTCCATTGCACCTTCAGCTTTGTTTCTTCTGCTGTGACGACTTTCACGTGTTTGATACTTCTCTGTACTGTCTTGTGCTCTCAGCAAATTGAGGAGTTGAAGGAAATGCTCAAGGAGCCAGACCTCAAGGCGATGGCCACTACTGAAATCAAAGAATGTCATGACAACCTGGTGGAAATCATGGTGAGCATGTTCGTTTTTCTTGCGGTTGACACGAATCTCATTTCATTTCACCTGTATTAGATTGAGTTCCAAAAGTGAATACTAGTACTGTATAAGCAGAAAAATTTCGTCATCTTCATCCAAAGAACCTTTGGACTATTAACCCTTTATTACCTGATTACTAGCACAGCATGCACCAGAATTACAAATGTCAGTACAATTTTCAACTTCACCAGGTCATAACTTTGGTCTCCTTCGCTTGATTTTTCGCCATCTAGGGCTCGTTGGAAAGCTCTTGGCAAGAGCAACGCCAGGGTACCAAGCTTCATTATCCTGTCGCCACAAATCAGGCGCGGTAACACAGCAAAGTCGTCTCCAAGCCTGATATGCAAGCAAATTCGTCCCATCAACGCCATTCCACTCTCCTTCATCGTAGAACGCTCAAATTTGTTTGAGACGATTCAAACTTCAGCCGACTACGTCATTATCATGTGCCTAGTCGCTCAAAGAGCACACGAAAAGGGATTTTCCCCAAAAATGGCGAAGTGATCGATCAAAAAATTTGAATTTGCCGAGGTGAGAATACGGCGCGCGATATCTCTGGCGTCCGACATCGTAACTCTTCGGCGATTGTTGTATTGGATAGCTTGGAGTTTCCGCTACCAAATAAACCTTTCGATTGTTGAATTCGCACAAGAAATGATGGAGTTACGAAGATATTACCGGCCTGCAGACTTTCGATCATATATGATCGAAAGACTTTCGATCATATTATGATCGAAAGTAATAAAGGGTTAATATTCAATGCCAGACTAAATCTTTTGGCAAATTTCAAAATTTTAATTTTTGGTGTGTGTACCCACACGCGCGCACGCGCATATCTCTGGCGTCCGACATCGTAACTCTTCAGCGATTGTTGCATTGGATAGCTTGGAGTTTCCGCTACCAAATAAACCTTTCGATTGTTGAATTCGCACAAGAAATGATGGAGTTACGAAGATATTACCGGCCTGCAGACTTTCGATCATATATGATCGAAAGTAATAAAGGGTTAATATTCAATGCCAGACTAAATCTTTTGGCAAATTTCAAAATTTTAATTTTTGGTGTGTGTACACACACGCGCGCACGCGCACACACACACAGACACACACACACACACACACACACACACACACACACACACACACACACACACACACACACACACACACACACACACACACATACACACACACACACGCCTAAGGAGTAAGGACCAGAAATATTGTTCACTCAGAGACTTGCAAGTAAGTCAGCTGTAGGGAGGGATAGCGACTGCACATCGTGGAACGTGAGTGCAGTTGTAATTATACTGACTGATGTCTGCTGTTGTGGCATATTTTCAATTGCCGCAGGTGAGAGCACCATTTTTGCCATGACAGTGGCTGTCAAAAAGTATTATTCACTTGCCAACAATCATCGCAGTGACCGTGAATGGAGTCTGGATCAGCAGTGCTCCATACTTGGCCCCCGCTTTCATGTGTTTAATGACCGCTGCCGGTAGTCGGTCCTCAGCATGCTCCTTGTTGAAGTACCGTATTTTCCGGAGTATGAGCCGCACTTTGAACACTCAAAATTCACCCAAAAAAAAAGGGAGTGCGGCTTATAGGGCTTGAAAGTGATGACGTCGAAAACGGCAAGGGAGTAGTAAGTTCACATCAGATTTCTATTTTGGATCCACTAAGGTGTGACTTTGCTATTGCCTCAGTGTGTGGGTGCTTAGCAACCCATGCATGTCGTATGCAGGTGTGACTTTTTCTTCGCCACCAGTTGTCACCCCACCCCCATTAGCCAACCCTGTCAATTTCACTGGCTACATCACCTTGCTGTGAGTAAGACCGCTTGAAATGTGCTTGGATCCATACAAAAACTGGATCCAAGTCCAAGTGGATCTAGTTTTTGAATTTTTGACATTGTTGCTATGCTGTGACGTAGCACTTTCAAGCCCTATACTCCGATGATCAAATTAATGGTGATAAATAGAATGATGTCTGTATTTCGTGGCAAAGGGGGGGGGGAGTGCGGCTTATACTCCAGTGCGGCTTTTACTCCGGAAAATACGGTACGTGAGTTCGGCAAGAGGCGTAATACGGAGCTTGAGGTTGGGCCAGAGATGGATCAACTGGTCAACTCCAAACAGACCTACATATAGCTGCGGATGGGCTCCATACCTCTCGTTGTCACGGCATACCGTATGCACTTCTCCCTCCACATATACTGGCACACACAGAGACATAGACCGCAATAGCGACACTACACAAAGTGAAGGGTAGTTGGCCGCAGCCAGAGGACACCGGTGAGACTCAAAACTGACTGAAGAAGTCAAGAAAAGAAGCGACAATAAAGAACACACCAGATGCCATATTTGCAACTGAAAATATTTCGCGAGAAATACAACTTTCTGAACAGATCAATGAGCTGTGGTGTAAGTATGCTGTCTGCAGCTAGGCTCTCTAGACCAGCATCAAATGTATCCCTGCTAAGAACCATTGACAGAACGTCCCCGCAGAGCACAGTGCAAGCCAGGCTGGAGCATGCGTTATTGAGGCTATCTTGAGTGATATCGGAACCAAGCAGCCACTCCTGGACTTTGTCATCCCTCCAAAGCACTTTATCAGCATATGGATCATCGAGGGTGTCGGATTTGGGCTGGCCAGAGTCGTAAGACTGTGCTGTGTTGGTAGTGTGCAAGCTGACTGCATCCTGGCTCTCATGAAGACAATCATGTTCCTCTGGCTCATGTGTCAGGGAACGCGAATAGTTGGGGTGACAACGCTCTGTTTGGCCTTCATGAATTACCTGTTGTGGAAGGCGTTCACCAGGCAAACTGCACATCGTTAAAGCGGTGATCTGCTGCGTACCATCCTGCCCAGTCATGGGAACTTGCTTGGCACCTTTTTCCTGCATCGTCCACTCGGACACAGGTACCACCGGTAGTCCCGTTCGTCCAGGTTCAATACCAACTGGGGTGGGGTGTTTTGCGCATTCATCTCCTCGCTGATCCCTTTTTGGTGAGCTGTGTTCTCAGCTCCTCCACGCTGTCCGGCACCTTCTTGCGAGTTTTGGTTGCCTTGCGCTTGACAAAGTGCATTCTACTCATCAGAGGTCTTGCGAATGGCCGACAATTTGGGCCACGAAACCCACCGTTCACTTCTAGCAATGACGGCTTCATCACTGGACAGATTCCATTGACAGTCGCTATCGTTATTCTGCTGTTCACAACACCACCGGCAGAATGGATTCCGCGATGGTCGCCTGCACACCAGGTCATCAATTTCTGAATCCAACAACAACAACAACAACAACAACAGCAGCAGTAACGGACGACCACGGGTGCTGTGCGACAGGTTTTAGCTGGCCGGGACCAGGGGTTTTCTTCAGCTTCACCGAGTAGTTTTTCTTGATGCTGCTAATGGCGGTGTGGCACACAGGATGTTCCAGAACCTTGCTTAAGTGTCCAGCAACGCGGTTCACTCCATGTTCCGTCGAGTATTTCCCAATCTGCTAGTGCATATCTTCGTCGTAGTGGTTGTTGTATCAATGGCAACAACGTGGGATCCACCTTGACATCCGGAATGATGGCCGAAAGCACCTCCACCAATGTATCCCGTTCGTCCGGTGGCCAAAACTCTCGTACTAGTACTACAGTGCTGGCAACTGAAATCCGACCCCTGAGCGGGGTGCGCTCACATCGCAAAGACCCAACGCGGGGTGGTAAAACTACGAAACAGAGACCGCTAGAATGTGAACGCATCACTAGGGGGTCGGATTTCAGCTGCCAGCACTGTAGTAAAGGCTCTTGTACTAGAACCAGTAGTGCGTCATCTTTACTATTCAATCCACAAAATGTGATACCAAAAATGAAGAACCATTTGAGGTTAATAGCCATTGTAAATATGAAAAAAGGTTATTATACCATGTACTAGTAGTACTTATAGTAAAGAAAAAAGGATCAAGAAACTACAAGTTTCGTTATAATGTCCACCAACACCACCAGTTACTAAACAATCAGCTCATGCGATAACATTGCACGACACTGACCGACGGTGCTGACGTTCTACAACTCAATGGCGTAACTTGTAGTTTCTTGGTCGTTTTTCGTTGCTATAAATTTATCCTTGGCTCTCCATCCGAGTCCATACTACAGTCCATTCATTGGAAACTGGCACCTTAACTTTTTGGTGTCTCCCACACATAGTTGTAGATATTGTGAAAACAACAGTACATCCTGCATTATGTGACCATGCAATTTCTCCTTGCCACATTTGAGGCTAGAAAAGTCCAAGAACAGGGAAAAAGAAATTCAGCCGGGTTTTACAAAATTGGGACAGGTATGCCATGGCAAAATGTACGGGGACGCAGATCCTAAACCCAGATTTTTGAGATTTAAAGTGGGTTTTTGATCCTCAATTCGGCCCAAATCCGACTTTCAAAAGCCAGCGGGACAGCTTCCGATGAATGGACTGTAGTAGTATTGTTTGAAGTAGTAGAAGTAATACCGCGCATGCTTCAGGGGCACTCGAACATCTTATCACCGCAGTCGAATGCCCTTCGCAGTCGAATGCAGGCTGAAGCCTGGTCAGCAGTAACTCTCTGCCTCTGGTATCATACGTATGCATGATATCATACATCTGCATGATACCATACGTCTGCATGATACCATACGTCTGCATGATATCATACGTCTCCATGATATCATACGTATGATATCATTGCTACGTATGATATCATACGTATGATATCATACGTATGCATTGGCAGTAGTAGTCACTCACGATCATAACAAGCCCTGATTACATTTGAATCCGCTGAGTTCTTTGTCCATTGTTGCTCTCACATTTTGCTGATTGCAATAAAAACTTTGTGTCGAGTACCGTACACATGTATATGCGCATATAGTATGCAAACACCGTTTGCTTGCTGACGGGAAACTCAAGGGGCAAGACCTGTGAAAAATGGGGGAGAGACCTAATGGAAGGAAAGGCATTTAAGAACAAACGCTTGCATGACACACTGAGAACACGTAAACATGATGATGATGTAAGGAGCAATGCTAGATATTAGCGGCTGAAAGTTGGTATGCCGTCTCTAGCCCAGTCCTTTGAGAACGTATAATACTCTGCTCTGTTACTGGGTTGTGATGTCTTTCTACTGCTGTTGCTGTTTTTGCAGAACTCATTGGCAGGGCAAGTGTTCCCTGCTGAGGAAATTGAAGACAGAAATTGCATAATGGAGATCCGTTCTGGTGGGTGATGTGATACTTGTAATGTGTGTGTGCGTGCGTGTGCGCGCACCTGTGTGTGTGTGTGTGTGCATGTGTGTGTGTTTGTGCATGTGTGTGTGTTTGTGCATGTGTGTGTGTGTGTGTGTGTGTGTGTGTGTGTGTGTGTGTGTGTGTGTGTGTGTGTGTGTGTGCATGCATGCGTGCGGGTGTGTTGGGGGGGGGGGGGGGGGTGTTCATAGCGTGGCACCCCGCTAGCCAGTGCATTGCCCATATCTCATTCTTATGTCTGATTTTGTTTTATCGGGCCGTGTTCCACAGGCGTTGGTGGCTCAGAGGCAGCGTCATTTGCTATGGAGCTGTTTCGCATGTATGAAAAGTAAGTTAGTTCTCCAAGAGTCACGGATACTTTACTCCTGTCATTGGCTGGGGAGAGGGGGGCTCGTAAGTGTCGCATTGTGCGCATACCCTCTTCCCCAGGAGTATGCAAATCTACTTTTGGGGTTTCGTGCAGCGCAAACCTACATTTCGCTGTGGTGGCATCGCCTAGCACCTCAAGGAGCAGCCAGAGTGGGAGCAGCACAGTGGCCGCTTCAATTCGATCACTCTGACGTGCAATCGGCTACACCTTCGTGCACTCGGGGCGCTACACATCCGCTGCTGAACTGCAGTGCGTGCAGAAGCCGTGTGTACCTGAAGTGACCCGTCACTGTGAATTCCTGAGCTAGAGCTTGGCTTGTTGTCTTGGGACTAGCGCCCTCCCTTTCACTCACACATTCCCGTTGTAAAGTACCGCCAGAGCGCCCCACCATAACGTCCCTTTCCCGGTGGTGCTGTGGAGGTGGTGTCCTGTCTGTAGGTCATACATACAGCTAGGGTACCCCGTAAGGAGACCATAGGTCTGTGGGGACTGCCCGAGAGAAATCTGAATAAATACTACTAAATACTATACAACACATACCTTGTTCACACACTGCACGCTGTGCAGCAGTCGATTCTGTTGCATGTGCTACACATGAGTTATATGTGTTGCTTGTAATTATCATGCACAGTCATCTAGTGCCTTGCTATGCCATCGCATGACACTCCATCCATGTACGGCTTACCTGCACATGACACGCGTTCATGATCAACCAACCTATGTGGTCTAGCTTGTCATCGTATTGTACACATCCGGTTCTGGATTCTTCTATCTTCTTCTACTGCTTCTAGCACCTTCCGTCCAGTTCTGATAATCTGGAGTGATTTGCATTTCTTTGTTCTTGTTGTTTATGTTCCCAAGAAGTGAAGTCAGAATAGAATGCTCTCGCATGTTGGGTGTGTGTGCTCGAGATAAGTAACAAAGTTCAAGGATCGAACTTTACAGATTCCGTACTCAGACTGCCTTCGAATGGACGCGAGCTCCACGCAAGAACATGTACAGCGTGACCTTAGTGTGCTATTGTTCTCACAAAGTTGCACTCTGCCATGTGATCTTCCTTCCCTGGCTGTAAAATCAAGGCTGGGGCGCTCTCGTGAGATGGGGCTCTGTACGTTGCGATACTAGTTTACTGTGTGCCCTAAATGTCATTACATGCCTTCGTATACGATGTGAATTGGACTGTTCTGGCTTTAATAGCTTCATTCTCTTGAGGTTGCTGCCATGCACGGCCTCCAGCACCAAGTTTTGTTGTTTCATTTCTTTAGAATGTGCATCCGTTCTTGTTTGTTGTGTTTCTGTGTAGTTTTGTTCGGTACAAGGGAGGCAGGTTTGAGATAACCAACATCGTTCCTTGCACCGAGGATGGCTACCGGGTGAGCTTCGCATGATGGATAATGCTTCCGTGGAATACCTGTGTGGGCTTCCGTCTCTCGGTCTGTGTGTGTGTGTGTGTGTGTGTGCGTGCGTGCGTGCGTGCGTGTGTGTGTGTGTGTGTGTGTGTGTGTGTGTGTGTATGTTTGTATGCATGTACTGTATTATCCCCATTTTAAGTCACACCCCCGTTCTCAGTTCTCCGTTGTACAGTTGCAGCATGTTGTCTTTTAGAAGCAAAAAATCATACTTGCTTGCAAGTGACACCCCTTCTTCAACCTTGGTGTTTACTGTGACAAAGTGCGCTGGATATTCGAGGGAATGCGGTTGCACAGATGTTGCCGTATCTATTGTAGCTTCATACCCCTGACCAGCGTGCGAACCAGGGTGCATCGCCTGGTGGGGACAGTACAAAATTTTTTTTTGTTCGCGTGAGACTCGGCTAGAGGCCGCGTTTTCCGCATCCGTAGGAACGCCACCACCCTTCAAGCATCAATGCGCAGACACAGCTCCTAATGCGTTGGGAGAAGAAAGAAAAAGAAGAGAGGTGGTGTGTGTGCCTTCCTTTTTCTTTGTTTCTCCAGGAAGCCTCTGCATTCATAACGGGGAAGTCGCTTTTTGGTGCGCTTCGGGTAAGTACTGAAACTTGGTTGTGTGTCTGTGAGAGTTGTATGTGTGTGTGTGTGGGGGGGGGGGGGGGTAGAGAGACTGTGCTTTAGATGAATGCTGCATGCACGCTGCTCCGCGTGGCAGGTGTGGGCGCCTTTCCATGCCCGTCGGTCATGTGCACTGACGGTATGAAGTGTACGGTCATGCATCAGTACAAGACTGTATTGTTTTGTGAACTATGGGCATTAGTGTGCCGCTTGTCATACGTTCTCTAAACGAAAAAAAGTGTCCGATGACAGGACAGCTGTCTGCATGCGTACGCTAAGCGTAGCCTGTACTGCACTGCACAAGCCTGATGTGTAGCGCGATAGACTTGTGCAGTGCTCAACCCACTTCATTTAGCCATTTTATGTCTGTGTACCAAGTACGGTATGAGTGCTGTTAGTTCTGGTGGGCAGTCTTGCAGCATGTGTGATTGTGGACAAGTATTAGTTGCACTGTTCTGTTTACCAACTCCACAGTGTACAGAACATTCAAAAGAGCAGCTGAATGTGTGGGCTAGAGAACAATTCCTGCTTGAGACATGCCTCCTGTGACCTGTGTAGCGTGTGGCTGTGAGAACAAGAGGATTAAGCTGGTCCAGTGCCTCCACTCTCTGTGCATATCGTGCCTTGAGCAGAATGTTGATGAAGATGGCTCCATCACGTGTCCGAAGTGCAGGGAGTCAACACCGTTGCAAGCTGGACTTTCTTCCATGCTGTCTTTTCCAGACAGTTATGCCAAGGCAGAGGGTAGTGGCACAGGAAAGAAGTCCGTAGTATCGTGTGATGAATGTATGGATGTGGAAGTGGCTGTGTCGCGCTGTGCAACATGCAGCAGTCATCTGTGCAGTTTTCACACTGAAGGACACAAGCGTTCCCGAGCTACACATGGTCATGAGGTACTGTCATTGGATGACGTGGTTACTGAGACTGCTGCTACTGCTTCTTCAGCTACTCAGTCACAGCATCGCTGTGCACTGCACCCAAGCAGTATCCTGACCAAGTTCTGCACGGAATGTAAGAAGCTGTTATGTGAGCGATGCATCAGCACTGGAAAACACGAGAAGCACAAACAAGATGTTGTGTCTATCAATGCTGCAGCGGAGAAGATAAGAGCATCAGTGAATGATTTGTTGTCGAGCTGTGTGTCTGAGAGTGATGGCGTTCTGGAGAGCTCCATTGAGAAAGTACAGTCCTCCATTCGTAACCTTCATGATCAGATAGAGGTTGCATCAGAAGAGGTCGTGCTATTTTTCCGTTCTCTGGTAGAAGCTATTCAGAAACGTGAAACCAGTGTTCTGAATGAACTTGATGATCTTCGAAGTCAGGCAATGAGACTTCGAAACTGACACTTCTTGTGAGTCTACACAGATAAATTATAGGCATATATGCCTTAAGAAAGTAGTTGTGCCTTCTCATCTAATCGCACGGCGGTTAGTGCAGAGAACATGCAACTGACAAGAGGTGATGCTAAACCCAACCCCAATACTATGTTACACTCAGCTAAGCAGCCAATGAAGTATTTGAAAATGATGTAAGCGAAGAAGACAGTGGGGCACAAGTTATGCCAGATCTTGAACAGTTCTATACTAGCACAATGTAGCACAAGACTTGCAAGGAGTACTAAGACATTCCACGGCATGAAAGTCAGATTGAGCCCTGCTCAAGATTTCTTTATCAATTTTTCAGAACGCAAGACTTGTATTCTTCTGTACAACAAGATTATTAATGCTGCTTCTTTTGTTACCATTGTTGTTTTTACTGTTTTGTATAGTTCGAGAGTGGTGTACATCGTGTGCAGAGAGTACCAAAGTCGGATACCATGGGTCGTCGTCACACCAGCACCGTGGCCATCCTCATCCTACCAGAACCCACCGAGGTACGACGCTGTGTTCACGTGTGTCCGTATGTCGGTATGTGTGTGTGTGTGTATGTGTGTGTGTGTGTGTGTGTGTGTGTGTGTGTGTGTGTGTGTGTGTGTGTGTGTGTGTGAGTGTGTGTGTGCATCGTGTGTGAATTGTGTGTCCCATATGGTCCAGTGGTATGTGCAGTCGATTCCCCATCAAGAGGTTGCAGGTTGAATTCGTGATTATATTTGTATAAGTCGCACGTGTTCACTTTCTCATTCTCTTAGCTCTTCTTTCATTCACCCTGGTGTTTACCTACTGCTAGTGGATGCCAGAGTATGTGGTGTGGTTCGCATGTCCAAAAAAAATCGAATAATCAAGAGTAGGTATTCGCGGGCCAGAAAAAGCTGCTTCAGTGAGCTATGTGGAGGAGTGATCAGGTTAAAATTGTGGTAGTCGATTTATCAGCCTTCAGCATGTGTACGTGCATCCGTGCCTGTGGTTAGTCCAAATCAGACGCTGTGTGTTTGTGTGTGCGTGCGTGTGAGTGTGTGTGTGAGTGTGTGTGTGTGTGTGTGTGTGTGTGTGTGTGTGTGTTTGTGTGCGCCCGTGTTGGTTTGTGCCTTTCTTGCAGCTAGATATTGTCATTGATGCCAAGGATTTGAAATATGAAGTGTTCAGAGCATCTGGGTAGGTCTATGGCTTTTCACAAAGAAGTTCTGTCCCAGTTGGACTCATGACCATCTAGGAATGAATGATATTCGTATACGATTTTTCGGCCGGAAACAGTTTGTTGCAGCTCGTGAACCGTTCTGTGTTCAAAACATTTGCTACACTGGCGAGTCTTGGCTTTTTGTGGATGGGAATGCATCACCCTAAAGCAGTGTTTACAACTGGCACGTGTACTGTACGCGTGAAGCACGCATTCGTGCGTATTTTGCTGGCTTTTGGTCGTCTTCGGCCGCTTCAGGAGCTGCATCTGCGCCTAAAGTAGGGATCTCAGCGCGTGCAGTGCGCAGGGTGTGTGCGCATACATTGCGTCATCGAGTTTTGAGTGCAGCTCGCGGACACAGCAGAAAAATGGCGACGGTCGATTTTCGACACTAGGGGACGCGGTGGACACTAGCGGAATCGTCATCTTCATCGTCGTTCGAACATACTTTGTAATTCCCGCCGAAGGACAGCGTGGCCAAGGCGATATTGCCCCGGTCGATTTTCCTATAATTTTCCATGCGGCAAGAACCCACTTCAGAGAGGATTCAGTCAAAAATTCAGACGTTTTCTCCGGTTAGATTGTCCTAACTTCGATTTTCAGTGCATCAGCCATCGCGAACATCGCCGCCATTATCACTCGGAGAGAAGACATCGCGCTCAGTAGAAGAGGTGTTCACGCTGCGTCCAAGAGTGAAAGATTGTGCTCTTTGACCCTCCATAGTTCCTCTGAGAGAGTGTCTGGGAGATAGGTAGCTTGGAGATGGCCGTAGAACGTGCTTTCCTGGACGCAATATTCAGCCATTTCTACTGTCTTCTTCAACTTGATTTATTTGGAAAAAAATGTTCTTTTCCACGATTTCTGCACTGGACGCGTTTGGGATCGAAAATCTCACCTGCGCAGACTGGCTGCGCAGTTCACGCGCTGAGATCCCTACCTAAAGGCCGATTCACAATACAACTTCTTGCGACGCGACATGCGAAAGTTGAACTTTCTTCAACTTCTGCAACAGGTGCCTTGCGACAGCTTGCGACAGCTCGCGAGAGGCAGTTTCTTGTCGCAGCTGTCGCGTATCGCGTCGCAGAAAGTTGTATTGTGAATCACCCTTTAGATCTTTGCAAGGTGGTGGTGTTCCTCTGCGCCTTAGATCATTGCAGGGTGGTGGTGTTCCTCTGCGCCTTAGATCTTTGCAGGGTGGTGGTGTTCCTCTGCGCCTTAGATCTTTGCAGGGTGGTGGTGTTCCTACGGATGCTGAAAACTCAGTCTAACTGAGTCTCAAGTGAACCGTGAACTTTTTGTTGGTCGTCATGCATATGAAAACATGCCAAAACGAGAGAGCTTGGAAGCTCAGGGTCCTACGCTATGCTTTTTTGCCTTGATGACCTAGGCAAAAAAAGCATAGTAATTTTTTCATTTATTCTATTTTTTCAAGACATAACCTGGGATTCGAACCCGCACTATCGCCCTGCATGCATCCCCGATACACTTTGCATACATACTAATTCTTCCAAGTTGCTTCACGTTATGATCTTGCATTTGAAAGCCCTATTTGAATATTGTGGCCAGCTGTTTGTGGCCAGCCGCCTTTGATGGTACGGTACGGGACAGGTACGGTCGAGGGTAATACGACACCGTCTACCACCTTGATGACCTAGGCAAAAAGCATAGGGATGTTATAAATTGTTCAATTCTCCTATTTTTCAAGGCATAACCTGGGATTCTAAGTTTTTCTAACCCGCACAATCGCCCTACATGCATTACCCGATACACTTTGCATTCATACTCATTCTTCCAAGTTGCTTCACGTTATGATCTTGCATTTGAAAGCCCTATTTGGATATGGTGGCCAGCTGTTTGTGGCCAGCTGTCTTTGATGGCACGGTACGGTACGGGACAGATACGGGATAGCGCCAGACGGAGGTCCACCCGCCCGCCACAAACACCAAATTAAAGCTGTGCGGACCCTGGCTAGCGCCAGACGTTACTGAAGTAACGTCTTCTGCATAGCTACGGGAATAAAATTCCAGTATGTTATATTTTTCAGCACATATCAGGCGCGTACCGGCGTACATGCCAGTCACTTTGATTAACAGGGTCAAAAACTTAGTATTCGGTGGCGTCGCCCGCCCTAAAATATGACTCGAATTGCTGCTTCTCTTTTTTTGAAAGCCTGAACGTGTGCTTGGGCACGCATGATCCGCCAGAGTACCGCGTCAACACACCAGTTGATCCGCCAGAGTACCGCGTCAACACACCAGTTGATCCGCCAGAGTACCGCGTCAACACACCAGTTGATCCGCCAGAGTACCGCGTCAACACGCCAGTTGTGAACACAGTGTAGTATAAGATTGTGTAACGTCCTGAGCATCATTTGTCTAGAGTAGTGCCGTACGGTAGTCTTACACCACTGGACACAGTTACACAAGCAGATGCTGCAAAATAACCTCTCTCTCTCTCTCTCTCTCCTCTCTCTCTCTCTCTCTCTCTCTCTCTCTCTCTCTCTCTCTCTCTCTCTCTCTCTCTCTCTCTCTCTCTCTCTCTCTCTCTCTCTCTCTCTCTCTCCCCCCCTCTCTCTCTCTCTCTCTCTCTCTCTCTCTCTCTCTCTCTCTCTCTCTCTCTCTCTTTCTCTCTCTCTCCGCCCCCCCCTCTCTCTCTCTCTCTCTCTCTCTCTCTCTCTCTCTCTCTCTCTCTCTCTCTCTCTCTCTCTCTCTCTCTCTCTCTCTCTCTCTCTCTCTCTCTCTCTCTCTTGTTTTTAATCCCGTAGTGCTGGTGGACAGCATGTCCAGAAGACAGAGAGTGCAGTACGTGTGACTCACATCCCAAGTGGCATTGCATTCCGCTCTGAAACATCTCGTGTGCAGAGTGTGGTAAGTCCTTGGTAATTGCTCTATTTGTGTTGTGAACAAAATGTGTTAGACTGTTGTTACTGCTGCTGCTGCTGCTGTTGTTGTTGTTGTGGTCGTTGTGTGTCGTCGCCAGTTTTTTTGGCGACGGCAGCGGTGGTTGTGATGACAGTGGCGGCAGCCGTGGTTGTGGTGGTCGTTGTTGTTTTCTCGTTCTTGTTGTCTTCATTGTTGTTGCTGTCTTCATTGTTGTTGTTGTCTTCATTGTTGTTGTTGTTGTTGTTGTTGTTGTTGTTGTTGTTGTTGTTGTTGTTGTTGTTGTTGTTGTTGTTGTTGTTGTTGTTGTTGTTGTTGTTGTTGTTGTTGTTGTTGTTGTTGTTGTTGTTGTTGTTGTTGTTGTTGTTGTTGTTGTCTTCATTGTTGTTGTTGTCTTCATTGTTGTTGTTGTCTTCATTGTTGTTGTTATCTTCATTGTTGTTGTCTTCATTGTTGTTGTTGTCTTCATTGTTGTTGTCTTCATTGTTGTTGTTGTCTTCATTGTTGTTGTCTTCATTGTTGTTGTTGTCTTCATTGTTTTTGTTGTCTTCATTGTCGTTGTTGTTGTCTTCATTGTTGTTGTTGTCTTCATTGTTGTTGTCTTCATTGTTGTTGCTGTTTCTGTTGTTGCTGCTCCTGCCACTGCTGGTACGTGAAATTTATCGTTCAAGTTTCTGATTTTGTCTTTGCAGACACTGTCTTTTCCTTCTAGGTGATTTATAGTTTGAGTCACTGCATAACCGGATTGACTTGTTTTGTCTCCTCTTTGTCTCTTCCTGGGAATTTGTTCACAATGACCATTTGGCTACTTTGTCTTGTCTTGTCTTGTCCTTGTCCTGTTTCCCAGAACAGAGAAAACTGCCTGAAGCTGCTTCGAGCCAAGCTCTTTGACATTGAATCATCAAAAAAGGAACAAGATGAACAGGAGCATCGCAAATCGATTGTGGGCAAGATGGACTTCAGCGAGAAAGTCAGGACCTTCCACTACTTTGGGGTAAGTAAAAAGGATTCCGGCCCCGTTTACTTGAACTGATTGCATCAAGCTGTTTACGGGTGTGCTCACACTGTGACCCGGCTAGTCATGAAATAAGAGTGTTCCTTGCCCGAAAAAAACTCACTCAATTTTAACTTGAAATGCAGAAAATCCGGCTGTGAAGAAATTTCAAATTGCATCACCTCGCTTTGGCGTTTTTTAGACCTTGTGTGAACAAGATCATTATATTTCTACATGATGAGGTCACTTGAACGCTGTCTAAGGGCGCGTTCAGACTACCGATAAAAAGTGACGTAATGGAAAAGTTTCCAAGGTGATTTGATCACGTGACGTTACTGGCACGTTACCGGCAGAAAAGTTTTACTCCTGCGGCGGTAACTGCATTCTGGCAGTAAAAAAAGTGCTCAGGCTGGGAAAAAGGGAAAATCCCTTCTCAGCGCCGCGGTGAGAGCTGCAAAACTTATGTACCGGTGACGTTAGTTTATCGGTAGTGTGAATGTCCTTCACGGTTTATCGCCTTTCACGGTTTGACGGGATTCACGGTAGTCTGAACGCTGTCTAAAAGATCCTCAGGCTACGTATAGTGTTCCATGACCAGCAGACAGTGCCAGTAATACAATTCTCACTCAGCAATGACAAGCTAGTGTCTGATCAGGAGTGTGTTTTTCTTCAAACACAAAGCTCTGAGTAACGGCAAAGACGGACTTGGTTGTGTCATTGCTCGGTGTGAATTCTATTCAATTAGGAATATGCAGTGAACTTGGTGTCAACTCTACCGCAGCTGACTAGTTATTTACTCTGTCTTTTCTGATCACAGATGCAGGTTGTTGACCATCGCTTTGATCTCAAAACCACTGGACTGACAGCGGTGCTGAACAATGCTGCCGATACTGCTGCCTTCCTGGAGAAGGTGGCCACGTCTGCAAAGATCAGTGCTATCAGGAAAGCGCTGAGGGCATCGCCGCCGGACCACATCTCCGAGTTTAAGCCCAAGACACTCTATGCGGCCGAGTCCCCGTGAGTGTGTTCCGGGCCGGAGTCAGCAAATACCCTGAAACCTGTGCACTGTGCATGGTATAAACGTATGTGCTGTGCCGGATTGACCAACATGCACATGGACGCACTCTGCAAGTCTTTTGTTCCTCGCCCGAACAGAAAACCGCTGGCGTAAGCTCTCAGCTGGGTTTTTTTCCGCCATGCTATTCACGTTACAGTGTGGATGGTATAGCAGGCCGCATATCCAGTAGTGTTGCTGTTATAGGTGTCCACCCCTATCATAAGACTCACCACTACAGCTCAGTGGTACAGTACACTGCGAGAGGCATCGGGCAGCTTGCGTCCTATTGGCACACTGAACCCGACATGCAATTGCCAATGAATGCGTTCCGCACTGTACTGCATGTCGGGTTTCACACACAAAACTTTGATCTCTTGGTGCAAATTTGATATCACTTTGAGGCGACTGACCTGCTTGTACAGAGCTGCAACTCACAACACACAGCAGTCCATACCTCATAACAGAAACCCCACTCTGGCCTCCTGATGAGAAGCGGGACTTCCCCCCGGCTTGGCCATACTCTAGCATTTAGCACAGGTTCATTAGCTATCATGAATGCATTCTTTTCAAGCTGGACATAAAATATCGTACTGTATTCAGTCGAGGCACCTATTTATTCCAGTTCATAAGTATTATAACTAAAAGATACTCTATAGTCTAGACGACTATGGACAAAGCGGTATTGTCATCGCACTGTTGAGTATGCTCAATACTGTGTGTATCAAAAGTATACTTCTGGACTTCTAATTTTCACCACCCGAACAGTCTGTGTACTCTCTCTCTCTCTCTCTCTCTCTCTCTCTCTCTCTCTCTCTCTCTCTCTCTCTCTCTCTCTCTCTCTCTCTCTCTCTTCTCTCTCTCTCTCTCTCTCTCTCTCTCTCTCTCTCTCTCTCTCTCTCTCTCTCTCTCTCTCTCTCTCTCTCTCTCTCTCTCTCTCTCTCTCTCTCTCACATCTCCTCTCTCTCTCACACCTACTCTCTCTCTCTCACACCTACTCTCTCTCTCTCTCTCTCTCTCTCTCTCTCTCTCTCTCTCTCTCTCTCTCTCTCTCTCTCTCTCTCTCTCTCTCTCTCTCTCTCTCTCTCTCTCTCCCTCTCTCTCTCCCTCCTCTCTCTCTCACACCTACTCTCTCTCTCTCTCTCTCTCTCCTCTCTCTCTCTCTCTCTCTCTCTCTCTCGCTCTCTCTCTCTCTCTCTCTCTCTCTCTCTCTCTCTCTCTCTCTCTCTCTCACTCTCACTCTCTTTCTCTCTCTTCTGATCCTCCTCCTGCTCCCCCGTCCATGTCTCTTACGTCTGATGTTATGCTCTATTTAAATACGTCTCTGTAGGCCGTATCATGTTGTCCTTGGGTGTCGCTCTTCTTGCTCTGTTTCTAGTCCTTGCTGTGGGATCCATTCTACATGTTGTTGCTCTTGCAGTAGGCATTGGCTGAGAAACTGGAGTCGCCGCTGTAGCCACTTCCCATGCTGTTTGACAGTGGTGGAGGCTCTGCTGGAGTCCACCATGCTGATAGGATTGTGGTGGTTGAGACCATGCCGGCTCCGCTGTCACTGTTCTCAGTACAGACAGTGTAGCTTGATGCGTTGATCTTGACTCAGTCTATGCAGGAGACATGCAACAATGCATGCGTACAGCTCTCTACTACTCTACTCTCTAGCTCTCTTCATGCCTTGATTTGCCAGAGGCATAGGACCACATGCGCACCGAATAACGCCATCTGCCGATAATACTAATGCTAATAAGACTGTATTTTCCGGAGTAAAACAATAAGCAACAGAACTTCACCCCCAAAAAGTCGGTGCGAGTTACCGGTATGTACAACGCTGGTGATAAACAGGATACCGGTAGATGTCTGTATTTCGTGACAAATGAATAATCTGGGCACGGCTCGGGAAAATTCGGAACATGTCTACCTGTACAGTCGTCCCTCTCTAATCCAGCACTTTATAATCCAGCACCCTCGATAAACCAGCTCAATGTCCAGTAGCCAAAATGTCCTCTTCATGCACATTGCAGCAGTAAATCAGATTTGTTAATCCAGCACCCTCCCTAATCCAGCAGATTTTCCGTGGCACAAATGGTGCCGGATTTAAAGGGGCACTCCGGCTTCATTTTCGACGCCGAGTTTTCGATGCCAAGACGAAGGTAGGTGAAAGAGAAGACCCCTCGAACAAGAACGAGTCTCCAGAAGCGATCGAGTCGAGCAGGAAGACGACTTTTGAATTTCGCCGAGCGAGCGCTGATGACGTAATGAGGGATTAGCTTGCCAGTGGAAATGCATCTGCGCACATACATTTCACATACTTTTTGGCCAATTTTCAATCGAAGAGGAGGTTGTTTTCTATGTTCTCTCAACGTCGTGAGCAATCCCGTCTTCTATACCCTTCCAGGTACCCTCAAGGTCCTCCAGAGGAGAATTTTTCTCCAGCGAAGCGTTGTTGATCCGCTAAATTCGTCTTGAGACATATTCACCCAGTGCAGTGCTGATAAATGTAGAATGTTGAATCTGTGATAATTGTCGACGATGGAGAGAGGTTGATAGCCACTGTCGCAGGGAAAGTGAAGCTGCTGGAAGTAACAACGGGGAGCTTGTTAGCATCACATGTGCATCCAGACTTCAAAGCAGCTTGACGGAATCGGGGAGTACTGACTATTTGTCTCGCCCTCAGTTTAGTGAATTTTACGACCAGAAAATTATTCGATCAGGATCCCTTCTACAAGATGTGTAGTACAGGTGATTTCTGAACTTGACGATATGGAGACCGACCAGTAGACCTACCAACAACGTGTACCTGCGGGAAATTCACCCAAGGCTATTGCTATCCTCTTCAGTGGCTGTTGTTTTTTAGTAAAAATATGTTCACTTCTCTCAACATACTCCTGCATGGCAGCAAGAAGGTGCGCTATGGAATTCAATGCCACAATCTTCGCCCAGCTGTGGATGAAGCATGGTCAAGTCATGGCAGTACATATACTTGAAACAGATGAGAAATTGAAGTTCATTTGTGATGGGCAGTTTGACAGCCCCAGTGACCGAGTCCAGCATTGTCTTTTGCCGTGGCACAAGTTGCTGAAGAATCCGAGATGGTCTTGGAACTATGCACATGGATACTACCAGAAATAATGGTGGCATAAACCATTGTGGAATGGGACAGCTCACGGAGAATACTGGAATAGCTCAAGTATCTCTAAGTGATTGTAAATCCTGTTCTGGCTGATAGCTTCGGCCTGCTGCGCCCATCCATGTACAATGATGGGAACATGCATTTCTGTTTTCTACATATTTGCTGGCTACTGTACTGTGATATTACAGTTGCAGGTCCCTTATATAAAATATATGTTCAACCCCCTCCCACATTATAAATATGAACTAACAATTTCACTGTTGGACTCGCAGGCAGCTAGAGAGCAAAGGATTAATTTATAGCAAAGAAAAGGACCAGGGAACTACAAGTAAATTAGTTACGCTATAATGTCCACGAACAATTTCACTGTATTTGAAATAATTTTGTTTGATACCCTGAGAACTCTGAAACTTTGGAGCACTGTGGATTATATGTAGATACAACATTTATAGAAGGAAAAGTGGAATAATTTCTAACACATTGTTCAAATAATTATAGCACTGAATTGTTGAGATTGTGAGCACATTCCAATCAGCACTCTACATATTTATAAGCGGTGGAAATCGTTAGGAATAGGTCGTGAGTTGTCAGAGTGCTCCAGTATATGAGAGAATGTTTTGTTTGTCTAATCGACGGCTCGTTTGAAGCCAGAGTTGTTTGAACTTGTTTCAGTCGACTTGATTCTAGATAGTAGTCGAAGGAGTACTATGAAGTACACACCACACGTAGTCCGTAAGGTATCTCGTGAGAATTCTGTCGGTACACATCAGGTATCAGCTTGGAAAGATGGATCCTCTCTGTTTCTTGAAAGCCTGTATAATTGGACTGTGGCTCCAGCGATTCCCTTCTCAGAGCAGATACCATACCCAATACGGTCAATACATATTGGACAGACCTGTATGCACAACAGAAATAGTGGAGAGAAATCTCTCAGCTCATGAACACGTCAGTGAAGTTTGAACTGCCGTTGTTTGTGGCCATCAGTATAAACCTATCGACTATAAGAATAATGTGCAAACAAACTTCTATAACCACAGCTGGGGCCATGGAATTATAAACTTAGGGAATTGCCAATTCTGGTCTGAGTTGCGTTCGAAGCCTGCAATTCATGATGGCTATCGTATGTTGCATTGACCAGAGATTATATCATAAAACTTCCATGCCACATTGAAACACGCACCACTTTCGAGTACTTAGGTATCCCCCACCAAATAGGCATTCGTTCTCGGGGTGGCAGGCGTCACTATTTGTTATGCCTGGATCAGATTTCATTGACCCCAACTGTCATGAAGAATCATTTTTACTTTAACTCGATTTCAGTACAAGTTGTAGAACTGCAGAATCAATTTCGTTGTATTTGGGCAACCATTTCACTACAAACGCTCTATTGGGAAAATAGAATTTTTTTATAAAATACATGTCCAAATTCCACATCTACCCAAATCGGAATACTTGATCACGTATTCAGTACTACACGGAATGTTTAGAAAACGCCAGGGAATAGGAATTTGCTAACGAGAACTCCAGGCCAGGGTACTAGCATACGAACAAAACAAGATAAAAACTCACCAGTGTACTTGTAGTAATTCATGTCGGTGTAATATTCATAATAAGCAACGAGGCACCCTCCGATTTGGTCAAGCTGCTTTGAAGTCTGGTTGTTCAGGTGATACAAACGGGCTCCCCGTTGTTACTTCCAGCAGCTTCACTCTCCCTGCGACAGCGGCTATCAGCCTCTCTCTCCATCGTCAACAATTATCACAGATTCAACATTCTACATTTATCAGCACTGCACTGGGTGAATATGTCTCAAGACGAATTTAGCGGATCAACAACGCTTTGCTGGAGATAAATTCTCCTCTGGAGGACCTTGAGGGTACCTGGAAGGGTATAGAAGACGGGATCGCTCACGACGTTGAGAGAACATAGAAAGCAACCTCCTCTTCGATTGAAAATTGGCCAAAAAGTATGTGAAATGTATGTGCGCAGATGCATTTCCACTGGCAAGCTAATCCCTCATTACGTCATCAGCGCTCGCTCGGCGAAATTCAAAAGTCGTCTTCCTGCTCGACTCGATCGCTTCTGGAGACTCGTTCTTGTTCGAGGGGTCTTTTCTTTCACCTACCTTCGTCTTGGCATCGAAAACTCGGCGTCGAAAATGAAGCCGGAGTGCCCCTTTAATAGAAAGGGACCACTGTACTGACTGTCTGTGTGTTGCTCACACTGATAGTGATACGCCGTTTATGGAAATAGACTAATGATGTCGATGAACCACGTGCGTGTATCAAAATCACTAATAATCAGGGCGCAAGCAACACCATTATGCATTATGCTTGCGTGCATATGCGTTGATGTACGAGCTTGATGGCACGCTTTTCATTTTTTTAATTCCGAGCGTTTACACTTGTTCCTGATCCTTTTGGGTTGCTCTCCTCTGTTTTATTCTTGCTCTTGCGTTTCGTCATGTTGTGTCTGGCAATGCTGCCTGCCACTAGCTCTCTGGCTGTTGTGCCTAAATACCTGTGGGACCGGAAGAAGGTTTCGCTCCCTTCAAGTTTTGCCTTCGAGTGTTTCTGTTGTTGCAGTCACAGTTTTACCCGCGATGAGTGAAAAACTAGTGGACTAGGGGCCAAGTCATTCGCGGCCTCCAAGCCATTTTCTGGTAGCAGCGGAGGGTTCTAGCTCTCTTTGCGAGGCGCTACTACTTCGAGGATATAATGCCGGGTGATGAACATGGAATATGCGGACTCCGGAGAGATATTCGCGCTTGATTGAACTACTTCGAACGGTAATGATTCCGCCCTCTACGTAACCAGTAACGACGGCAATCTGCATTGGCAGCGAGGCCCCGCATGCAGCCAACCGATATGCCACAGAGCGTGGATCGGAGCACGACAGCGCACCATTTTACCCGGTCTAAGAAGAGAGCGGAGCGTGCAGGAAAATAATTCGTCGTTTACCAGTTAGTCTGCGAAGGTAACTGGCATTGTACATTGGTCGTATCCATTCCGGTTGGCTGAGCCACGACGGAGTGGAAGACACTATTCCGTATTCGCCAACTAAGCCAGTACATGAACGAGTGCAAGACCTGGCGCGGAACCGATAGATACATGTAGTGGAGTCGAACGTCAGAGACCAGAGAAAAAACTGCTAGTGCTATGCTAGTCTGTCTTACCGGCTTGAACGTCACTGCGTGCAGTTGGAGGATATCACGGACTGTCAGTGTGATTTCCGAATGCATGCAGCAGTCGACGCAGCGCACATCGCAGGACTTTCAATCGTGGAGAGATTTGTTTGGATGGCAGTGAGAGCTAGAGCAGACAGAATTGATG